TTCCGCGTCCTGCCTATGGCTGACCCCGCCACGGTGCATGCCCGTGCCTCATGTAGGAGCGTTCGTAACAAAAAGGCATATTCGTAAATTTAAAGATTTAATATAGATAATTAGTTCTTCTATACTAAGTAATACTAAGTAATACTAGTAAAAAAATAGACTTTCTATTCTAGCAGTTCTTCTTAGATACTTAATTTTATATAATATATACTAGTACTTCTAGGTACTTTAAAAGTCTTAGTAAAGTATATTATATAAGGCTTATCTAGCTAGTAAAAAGCTCTTATCTAAATAGTACTACTCTATATTAGATATATCTTCTTTTTAATTCTTATATTAATAGACCTATTTTCTTAGCTAGTTATAATCTATATTATTATACTACTAGAGAAAGCTAATACTTCTTCTGAATATAGTAAAAGTAGACTAGAGTATAGGGGTTCTTTCCTTAGTTCTATAACTAGGGTCTTTCCTCTATATCTAAGTAGTAACTATAATATAGAGGTACTCTAAAGCTCTAACAAGCTATATTAGACCAAGAAGTAACTAGTTCTAACTATATAGGTATATATAATATATAAAGTCTATATATAACCTATATATAGCTATAAATAGCTATAATCTAGCTAGTACTAGCTAATAAGAAGAGTAGTGCTACGTAGACGACCCTTTTTTGCTACGTGGACGACCCTCACGTGACGCTACAAGTGGGGTTGTTGAAGGTACCTAGTTCTTAGTGCAACTCACATGGAAATAGAAGTATCTTTTGAAAATCTAATGTATTTAACTATTCTATGTGTCCCCGCTACCACAACTACCATAACCCCTCCTCGCCGCCGCTGCTTGAAGCAGCTGATTATGCATACATTAGATCCGGATTAACAATTCTTCCGCGTCTGCCACCAACGCCGTCGCCAGCGTCGCTAGCGTCGCCGCTGGAAGCTCTTAATATTAGCTAATTCGCTTAAAAAACGCATTTTCGCTGCTTTTAAGGAATGTGTGCACAACTTGTCAGAAAAAAGTTAGCGGTTCTTCTTAGGTACTTAATTTAGTATAGGAGCCGCTAATAAATTAAGGTACCTTATAAGTACTATAGCGGGGTAGATCACGTGAGGGTTGTCCACGTAGTAAAAAAGGGTCGTCTACGTAGCACTACTTAATAAGAATTAAGCTTCTATATTAGTATATTACTATTACCTTCTAGTATTAAGAACTTAGGTTCTATAGCCTACCTTCCTTATACTTAGCTTAAGGCTATTAAGGAGCTAAAGTAGGCCTATAAGGCTTACCTTATAATATTAATATTTTATAGCTAGTTTTTCTTTTACTCCTTTTCTTCTTTTTAAGAGAATTATTAATAATTATAATACCTATTTATAAAAGCCTAAGGCTAATTTATAATATCTAGGTATTATAAATAATAGTAATTACTAGTAATAAATATATAAGTAATAACTTTAAATTATGAATTCTAGTCCTTAAGCTATAGTTATATTATTATTAAAGTTTTAAATTAATTATTAAATAAGGTATATTATGAAAGGTAATATTAATATTTCTTAAATATAAATATTATTTTTAAGCTAAGTAATTAACTAAATATTATATTAAAAACTTATATTAGTAATTATATAATATTAATTAATAACTATAATTAAGTTATTTTTAAAAATATTTTATTAACTAACTAACTAGTTAATTATTATATCTTTTATTATATTATATAGTTTATCTTTTATTAGTTTATTATTAGTTATAAACTTTTTATTACTTTTTTATATATGATTTTTTATTAATATCTAATTTTAATAATAAGCTTATTATAAGATTATTAATTAATTATAATAATATAAGTACTTTTATATATAATAGTTATATTAATAAGACTAGATATATTATATATATAATTTTTATAAAAAGACCTTTTTATTAAGAAATTAGCTTTTTTAATACTTTTATATATTTTCTTTTATTATTAAATATAAATTATAAGTAATTTTATTATAACTTTAAATAACTAGCTAATTAATTTCTATTACTAGTTAGTTAGTTTAATATAAACTATAAATAGTTAATTATAAAAGCCTTACTTATAACTTATTAATAATATTAATAACTAATTATATAATTTATATATAATATATTTAAATTTTATATTAGTATATTTGAATTTATTAATTATTATATTAAAGTTTAACTAGTTACTAGACCTTATTTATTATTAAAGTATATATAGTTATTATAAAGTAAAAGATAGTATTATATAAAAAGTAGTTAAGATGAAAGGTTAATAAAAGAATAAGAGATTAGGTTATTATTTTAAAGTAATTATTTTTTTATATAAAAAAGCCTTTTTTATATAAATAATTAACTAAAAGATCTAGTAAATTCTCAGTCTTTATCTAAGTTTAGTAATATTATATATTTTAATTAAAAATAATAAAAGTTTAGTTTTTATAAATTAAATATAATATATAATTATAATTAAATTATTATTAGTCTAATAATAATAAAAGTAAATTTATTATAATTAAGAAATATAAGGTTTTTTAATAGTATTACTTATATAATTATAACTTAAATAGTTAACTTTATATTTATTATATTAATTAACTTAAATATATACTTTAATCTAAGGACTAGATAATATAATATTAGAAGAGTTGATTTTATATCTTAGCAGGTAATTATTATAATCTTAAGAGTTATTTTTAAAATTAATAACTATATCTTTATAATCTTAATTATTAGACTAAAAAATAGTTACTAGTAATTAGTTAAACAATTAATTAAGTAATTCTAATATTTTATATAACTAATTAGTTAATTTTTATATCTTATTTATTAAAATTAGTTATATTATAAAGATTATAATATTTGATTATATATTATTAAGGTACTAAAGAAGTATAGTTATTTATAAAGTATATTAAAGTTATAAAAAGGTAAAGGAATTAGTAATAAGGATATTATCTTCTCTTTTATAGTTAATAGTAATTATTAGACTAAGAAGTAGCTAGTCTTAACTATATAGGTATATATAATATATATAGCCTATAGGTAGCCTATATATAGCCTATATATAGCTATAAGTAGCTAGAATCTAGCGAGTACTAGCTAGTAAGAATTTAGCTTCTATATTACTATATTACCGTTAACTTCTAGATATAACAAGCTAGTTAGTGTAGTATATATATATAAGTATATTAAGGGAAGTATCTTTAAAGAGTACCTTATCTTTAAGCTAAGATCGCTGTTTTTAATGTTATTTTCACTGATTCTATACCTTTTTTAGCTATTGATTATACCAGCTGCCTACACTAGGAGATACGACACCTGTAGCTAACCTACCTACTATATATACTCTTTAGTATAAGAAACAAAGAACTACTATAGAGTAGCGAATACTAGTAGAAACTCGTGGCTGTGCCTGAATATCTAATTCTAATCCTAGATCTTTTAAGTAAACTCTCGAGTCGGATACTCGATGGGATTCTTTACAGAGTTTTATAACTTTAATTGCCCCTACCTCTACCTGATATAATTTACTACTAACTAGTTAATAAAGTACCTTCTTAATAAGGGTATCTTATATAGATTAAAATTAAAGAAACCCTACTAGAAACCCTACTAATAAACATCTCCTTTTCTCTATATACCTTTTTCGAAAATGTTTATTCATACTCGCTATTCTCACCAGAGTGACGCCGAATAGTACTCTCACGAGGTGGCCCTTGACCCGCGTGGCCCGCTGTGGCCCGCCGCGTGGGTTTCTTCTTTGATGTACCCCGACCATGACACCTCTACTCAAAAAATTAAAGACCAGGGCATAATTGCCCCGCCATCAAATTGGCGGGGCACAAAAAAAGTTGCACTGTATAACTAACGAACGTCAACTCAGCTACACAGGCTATCCCTTCGATTGCCTGTCGCTCGTCGATTAGGTTGCTTCGCTAGCATCCTTGATATCCTACCGAGCTAATATAATTTAGCCTTACGACAGGAGGATCTTTACTGCACTTATTGCGACACACCGCGCATCTGCACGAGAATCGTCGCAAAAGAGCCGACCACACGAGCGCACCATGTCCAATCTTCGCATCCTCCTCATTGGCAACGGTGGCCGTGAGCACGCGCTCGCTTGGAAACTCAGCCAGTCCCCGCATGTCGAGACCATCTTTGCTGTTCCTGGCAACGGTGGTACTGCTGCGTGCCCCAAGGTTTCCAATGTGACTTCTGTCCCTCCAGACGACTTTGACGCTCTTGTCAAGTTCGCCCAGTCTAATGGCATCAACCTTGCTGTACCCGGTCCCGAAGCCCCTCTGGTCGACGGTGTTGAGGGCTTCTTTCGCGCCGCGGGCATTCCCTGCTTCGGTCCCTCCAAGGAAGCTGCTCGACTCGAGGGTAGCAAGACTTACTCGAAAGATTTTATGAAAAAATACAATGTTCCTACTGCTGCCTATGAGAATTTCTCCGACTTCGAAAAGGCAATCTCGTACATTGATAATATCAACCACGATGTCGTTATTAAGGCCACTGGTCTTGCTGCTGGTAAGGGTGTCATTATTCCTCAGACCAAGGACGAGGCCAAAGCAGCTTTGAAACAGATCATGGTCGATAAAGAGTTTGGCTCCGCTGGTAGCGAGGTTGTAATAGAGGAGCTTCTTCTCGGTGATGAGCTCAGCGTGCTCACTTTCTGCGACGGTTACTCTATCCGTTCGCTGCCTCTCGCACAAGACCACAAGCGTATTTTCGACGGCGACCAGGGCCCCAACACTGGTGGCATGGGCTGCTATGCTCCTACCAACATTGCCACCAAAGAGCTCGTTGAGCGTATAGATAAGGAAATTCTCAAGCCTACGATCTTAGGCATGCGCAGAGAGAAACAGCCCTTCCGCGGTGTCCTCTTCACTGGTCTGATGATTACTGCGACTGGGCCCAAGGTGCTCGAGTACAACGTTCGATTCGGCGACCCTGAGACTCAGACTGTTCTTCCTCTTCTATCTGCCGAGACGGATCTTGCCGAAATCATGCTTGCGTGTACGGGCGGATACCTGGACAACTGCAACATCACCATTTTGAACAAGTTTAGCGCCACCATCGTGCTCGCTTCTGGAGGCTATCCTGGATCTTATGCCAAGGGCACTCCCATGACCGTCACCGAACCTCCTACTGGCAGCACAATCTTCCACGCTGGCACAAAGCTCGATGGTCAGCAGCTCCAAACCTCTGGCGGTCGTGTCATCGCTATAAACTCGGTCGGAGATACTCTTCGCAGTGCTGTTAACGCCGCCTACGCGGCTTTGGCAGCTAACGTCATCCAGTTTGAGAAGATGTTCTTCCGCAAAGATATTGCACATCGTGCTTTTCGTGCGCCTAATAAGGAATCTATGACCTATGCGCAGGCTGGTGTTGACATCCAGGCTGGCAACGACTTCGTCGAAAAGATCAAGAAGGCGGTTGCCAGTACTAAGCGCCCTGGCGCTGATGCTGAAATTGGTGGATTCGGCGGCGAAGTTGACCTGTCTGCTGCAGGTTATCCCAACGCCCCTGTGCTTGTTGGCGCCATTGACGGTGTTGGTACCAAGCTGATGATTGCTCAGAATATGAAGAAGCACGACACTGTCGGTATTGATCTGGTCGCCATGAACGTCAACGATCTCATCGTTCAAGGTGCTACCCCCCTCATGTTCTTGGATTACTACGGCTGTAGCAAGCTGGATCTTGCTTCGGCTGCTGCTTTCGTTGAGGGTGTCGCCGACGGCTGCAGACAGGCTGGCTGTGCGCTGGTTGGTGGAGAGACTGCCGAGATGCCCGGCATGTACCAGGGCGAAGATTACGATGCTGCCGGATGTGCTGTCGGCGCCGTCACTGATGATGCGCGACTTCCCAAGCAGGCGGACATGGTGGAGGGAGATATTCTTCTGGGTCTCGGTTCAAATGGTGTTCACTCTAATGGCTTCTCCCTCGTGCGCCGTATCGTCCAGAGCGCTGGTCTCAGCTACACTGATGTCGCTCCCTGGGATCGGGGCCAAAGTGTTGGTGAGTCGCTGCTGACACCAACCCGCATCTACGTCAAGACTCTGCTGCCCACTCTCAAAGACATCAAGGGCCTGGCTCACATTACCGGTGGTGGTCTCACCGAGAACGTCCCTCGCATGCTCCCCGAATCGCTCACTGCTGAGATCAACTTTGGCTCGTGGCAAATACCTGCAGTTTTTCAATGGCTCAAGGCTGCTGGCAACGTCACCCCCGAGGAGATGTGTCGTACCTTCAATAGCGGCATCGGTATGGTGATTGCTGTGGATGCTAGCAAGGCTTCTGTAGTGTCCTCTGCTCTTGGCGCTGCTAACGAACCCGTGTATACACTTGGTCACTTGGTCAAGCGCAAAGAGGGCCAAGCTGGCTGTATTATCCATAACTTGGAGCGTTGGCAATAAGCTGACTGTTGCAATAAATGGAGTTCGCTGATGCGCAAGAGATTCATACCAGAAGAAAGCGGAAATGATTACCTTTTTCCTTTCTATGCTGTCAAAATTAAAGCGTCCCTTTCAAGGGGTATATAATTTGCCACCTAGAGTTGATGGAAGATCGAAGTTGCTCGGTTCGCAATGGTCTTGATAGTTTACGATAGACGTACCACGGAATGGCGTTCATACATATTGCAAGTTATAAGGTGGATACCCCATACGCTTTTAGCTCAATTTTCAATTTCTTTTCAACTACGAAACGAAATGAGGCTGTTGTTCAGTGTCTGCGGTTTTCTTGCAGTCTCATGCTAGGTAGGTAGCTTCCCAACTCGACGCGTGAGCCTGCCCATGAGGCTAGCAACGCCCCCCAAAGTTGGCTTGGGACCTTTGGGCAGAACCACGTCGAATCGATGGATACATTGTCGTACTGACAAGGTACCTGCTTGAGATTCGCATTTTGAGAAGAGGGCAGTCCGTTCTGTGGCTATTTCCAAGACGCCTGAATATGGATGGGACGTCCATGCATATGTGGGCTGCTGCACACGATCTCTTGACTCTTCGCTACCTACTAATGCAGAGCCCAATCTTGTGTCAGCACCGTATTCGATATCAACAAGCGAGCCTGTCACGCCTTTCCAGAATCGTTAGAACATTGGGGGCTATCATGAATACTGCTAAGGCCTTTAAAACTTCCGCGATGGACGGAACACGCGCCCGGTCTAGTGCCAGCCACATGGCCACACGATGTACCTGTGTGGTCCCGTGCCTGTGCCTGCGCCCAGCCGCCTCCACATGTTACTGGTCTCACAACAGAAATCGAGAGTTGACTGACTACCCCTTGTCTCGGTCAACGAACCCGCCTTTGCCCATTCTCTGTAGCTTTCAGCTCTTCTTCTGCATCAACCACATTCGGAAGCATCTCGTCTGGTGTATGCACATTCATCTCAGCGCTGCTGCTTTTCATAAGAAATGCCCAGGATAACGACGCGTGTGGCCGTGCCGTTTCTGGTGGCTATGATGCTACTGACGGGTGTCTGCAACACACTGCTTACCAAGTACCAGGTAAATACGCAACCGAAAAACTTCTTGCTTCTGTTCCGGGCGAGGGAGAGATTCTCTGTGTGCTTCTAGCTACTGGCTCACGCGAAATCTAGGATATGCAATGCGTGCGACACTGCGATGCCGAGGCCAACAAGCGGAAGCTCTTTAATCAGCCCGTACTGCAGACAGCCCAGATGTTTGTCGGTGAAATGGGCTGCTGGCTTGTCATCGGACTCATGGCCATTTATAACCGCTTCCCCGGGGCTGCGTCTGCCGCGACAAACACCCACTACCAGGCCGTCAACACCGACGAGACAGCCGATGTTGCCCCCGACGCCGACGAGAACGCCGACGACGACAACCGCAAGCGTGATCTACTCAAGGGATTCGGCATCGTTCTACTTGCGCTGCCAGCCATCTGCGACATTTTGGGTACAACGTTGATGAATACCGGCCTGCTTTTAGTGGCTGCCTCTATTTACCAGATGACCCGCGGCGCTCTGGTCCTCTTTGTCGGCCTCTTCTCCGTCCTCTTTCTGCGCCGCCACCTCTTCCTATTTCAGTGGCTCGCACTCGCTGGTGTTGTCTCTGGCGTCGCTGTGGTTGGTCTCGCCGGCGCGATCTGGCCTGACGAAAAGGTGCGCCACGCCGGCGCGTATGCCCACGACGGCGAGGGTCTCTCCGACGCCGTCCGCGCAATCGTCGGCGTTCTCCTGATTGCTGGTGCGCAGGTCTTTACTGCCACGCAGTTTGTCTTGGAGGAATGGATTCTGGAGAACTCGCCCATCGAGCCCATCAACGTCGTGGGCTGGGAGGGTTTCTTTGGCTTCCTCGTGACGGTTGGCGGCATTGTGTTTATGCACTTGATTGTCGGCCGCACTGAGGCTGGCCGCTATGGCGTCTTTGATGTTGTGGAAGGATGGCGCCAGATGACGCAGGTCAAGACAATATGGCTCTCGAGCCTCCTGATTATGATCAGTATTGGGTAAGTGAAGCGCCGCAACAGCGTTGCTGAGGGAAAGCATGGCTAACGAAGAACTGCACAGCGGCTTCAACTTCTTTGGATTATCGGTTACTCGTACAGTCAGTGCTACTTCTCGCTCAACTATCGATACCTGCAGAACCCTTTTTATTTGGGTTGTGTCGCTTGGCTTGGGCTGGGAGTCCTTCAAGTGGCTACAGATTCTCGGGTTCGCCATCCTCGTATATGCTACGTTTGTCTTCAATGGTATCGTCCAGCCACCATTGAAGTCGCTGCGTCCCAACGAGGAGGTTGACCCTCTACTAGCCGAAGATCCCATCGAGCGCCCGTAGATGGCTAGGCTATGTGCTATCAAGAGGGATGCAGAACGGGCTGGCTAATTTTGTTTGGCTGCATGTATTGTGGATTTGGCGTCTGGAAAGCATTTGCTATTTGCCACGTTTTTTGACTTCAGTGTAGAGCATTTTTTGACTCAATGTAGAGCATTATAAAGTTATAATATCGTCAAATTCGAAGAGGCTACGCTGGTAATCGATGATGCCCCATGTATATTGATCAAACGCGAAATTATCAAAACGCCGTATTGGGGGATCTGGAGACTTGACAACCATCTTGCTCCTCGGCCAGCAATAAACAGAACAATCTTAAGCAAGGGGAAAGGAACTAAAACACGAAGACAACAACAGAACTCGCATTGTTTGTAAAGAAACCCACTCAAGTGACGTCCAATTTCCGACAAATAGATCAAGAAATCAACTCAAGCAACGTTGCACAGTAACTCAGCTTCGAGGATGAATTTACCCTCTTTATACTTTTGCGAGTTTTCATATGCCTTGTCATATTTCCAGCCAACCGTTTCTTTGCACTGTCGGCAGGTAATGTCGCAAACAACATGTCTTCCAGTGGTCATATTTCGTTCGCTTGGCTCGCCGGTTTCGATATTGACGACACTGTGGAAGAGGTACGCCTTGCCATGCTGGCCGCGGAAGTTCTGCTGGTATGGTTAGCATAGAGAAATGTGTCATCTCCTTGATTATCCTCTCCAAACGGCCCAGACCAACGAATCAGTGTCGATGGTGATGATGGATTGCAGCTGGGACTGGCTCGGCGTCTGCTCGGCGCCCGCGGCTGCCTGGCAATGTGTGACCGACCGTTTGTGACGTACCCTGCTTATGATGTCTTCATGGTTGGCTAGATGTGCTTTGCAGGATTTGCAGCCGTAAATCTTGGTACCGTTGAGATAAGTATTATACGATAGGCCCATTCTGGTGCGTGCTGCCGGCTGCTGCTGTTTGAACTGATGCTGGGTCTTGAGGCAGCGTTGGCAGTGACGTCGTGGCGGGTTGGCTGTTGCTGCGTCTCGTTGTCTTGCCCCGCAGTCCGTCTTGAGAGCGTAAGGGAGAAGAGCTTTGCCGTGTCTTGGTCGCGTACAGGGAGTACAGTTCACAAAAAAAGGGTCGAGACGGTCAGATTATGTTGTGGTTGTAATTAGAAGATGCGCAAAAGTCACGAGCAGCATAACTTACAGGGACCAATCGGCGAAATTGGCAAAAGGTCCAGCAGGCGTTTAAGGTGCATGAGGCCGCGATCAAAGTTACCTACCACTCG